CCCAACTCCCTCAAGACTTTATAAAAAGCAATTTGGTCTAGTTTGGGACTGGGCAGACACTCTGTTTGTTCTATTAGACTCCTCAATAAGCCGACACCCCACTTGCCGAGGCAGCTATTGAGCCATCTCTGTTCTGGATGCCCAGCAATTGGAGCCAAGCTTCAGGATGGTACAGTATCACCATTAGCAAGGTCTCCACTTTACCCCCTTCTCCCACCTTTGCTTCATTTCTTGTGTGTGTGCATGAGAGCATGTGTTCATGTGTGTGTTGATTATTAATAAAACTACAAAACCTATTTGGAATTTCCTCTGGAGTTTTGTGTGATTTGGAACCAGTATAAAAAGGGTTACGATCCCAGTCTGAATGTTGCCCCAGCCAAAGGTATGGTTTAGTTGAGCTAAATTAATCCCCCTATTAAATGTTATTTGTGGGTGCCTTCCCAGGATCCCAGCTTTTGGGGGTAACAATATAAAGCCTGAATGAAGATTCCCAGGGCTTCTTGGATTCATTTCATTCATTGTTGTTTTGGAGATTTTGCTGTCATTGAACAAGTTAATTTGTTTAAAATGTCAGATATAATCAAGAAGTAGTTAGTATGAACACAATGTTCAATAGTGGAATCAGTAAAGAAAACTAGCACTCCCAAACCTGGTACCATGAAGATGTGTTGATTGTAACCATGCTAGGGAGGCTAATGGGAGATGTAGTCCAGCACTTCTGTGAGGCACCAATTTGCAGAGTCTGGAGCAGATACATCAGTGGAGAAGCAAAGGATTGACACACAAGTGACTTGGAATTTATGTGGCTGTGTCACTTTCTTAATCTGGTAGTTCTTCTCCTTCTGTAGAAATTAAAGTTCCCAGATATCTGGGCCTGGGCCTCTCTGAGACACGAGATGAGAAATCTTGGGACAAGAGCACAGCCTTGAAGGCTTAAACTGTATGCTTCAGAATGGCTCCAGGCAGTTTCCTCGGCAGACGACTAATTGAGTCGTCTTCCGGGCCCAGAAGAGGAG